TAAAAATAATTTTAAACTATCTTTAAAAGATAAGCCCTCACTGTTTAGCTGGGGAGGACCTTGAACTCTTGAGTTCCCTGCCTCCACCTCCTGAGTACTGGGGTATGAATGTGTGCCACTACCCATGGTTGAAATTCAGGTTTTCCCCCCTGAGACAAGGCCTCACTATCTAGCCTTGGCTGTCTTGGAACTCACTTTGTAGATCAGGCTGACCTCAAACTCACAGAGATCTATCTTCCTCTGCCTCCCAAGTGCTGGAATTAAAGGGGTAGGCCACTATACCTGGCTGGAGATTAAATTCTTGATAAATTTTTTTGTACAAGTCTCTCAGTTTTTGATAGTATTCTACCAATGAGAAACTTCACCTAAAAATGGAAGACATTTTTGAAAACATTAAATTTGCAATTATTAAAGTTATAAATTTGTAACTGACAACTATAACTTAAAATTTTCTACTATTATAAATGATTCATTCAGCTGAACTTTCCTTTTTTTTGATTTTTCGAGACAGGGTTTCTCTGGAAGGCATAGTAGCTCCCCTCCCCCTTGTTTTTTCAGCTGAACTTTCTTATATTAATTACTTCACAAGACTATCAAGGGTGGGTGTGGTAACCCATGCCTGTAATCCTAGCAATCAGAAGACGGATGCAAGAGGAATTTGAGTTACAGACCTTGTTGGGTCATATAGTAAGGACTCATCTCAAAATAAACAGAAAAAGAATGCCTCCTATAAAAATAGTAATAAGACTTAGTTTGTACACATGTACATGTCATCAGAGCCACACAGCGAGGTTGGCTGCTACTCAAAGGGCACTGAATCTACCCAGGGACAGAGGTGGCTGCTATGTGTGATCATGAGTCACTACCTTGTAAGCCACCAGCCCCTCAATCCCAACTGGGTGCACTTTAAGATGAATACCAGCTCTTTGGGTTTCTGTGGTTTTTTTTTGTTTGTTTTGTTTTTGTTTTTTTGTTTTTGTTTTCCAAGACAGGGTTTCTCTGTGTAGCCCTGGCTGTCCTGGAACTCACTCTGTAGACCAGGCTGGCCTTGAACTCAGAAATCCGCCTGCCTCTGCCTCCCAAGTGCTGGGATTAAAGGCGTGTGCCACCACCACTCGGCAAAGATTTCTTATGGTTATTACTAATAGAAACTTCCCTAGGACTAGGGACTTGGGTTAGTTGGTAGAGTACATGTCTAGCATGCATGCTATCTCTACTGCATAAACCGGGTATGGTGGCACATGTATCTACTCTCAGCACTCACGAGGTAGTGGAAGGAGGATTAGAAGTTCAAGATCATCCTCTGCTATCTAGTCAGTTTTAGGTCGCCTGAGATATATGAAACCTTGTCTAAGTGACACCTTTCTCATATTTTACAAAACTTCAACCAATTTCTCTCTCTCTCTCTCTCTCTCTCTCTCTCTCTCTCTCTCTCTCTCTCTCTCTCTCTCTGTCTTTCTCTCTCTCTCTCTCTCTCTCCCCCTCGCCCCTGTATGTGTAGGTCAGGAGTCAACATCAGGCATCTTCCTCCATTGCTGTCCACTTTTTTGAACTTGGAGCTCAGTGTTTCAGCTAGACTGCTGGTGAGCAAGCCCGAGGGAGCATCCTGTCTCTGCCTCCAAGCCCTGAGAATACAAGCACTGGTGATGGCTGAGCTTTTATATGGTGCTGAGTGAGGATGGAGCTCAGGTCCACATGCTCTTCAGTGAGCACTGTCTAGACTGAGCCACCTCCCAGCCTCCTCCACCATTCAGTTCCATTGAAGTCGACTACAAATGCAGAGAACTGAGCGGGACAAGACTGTTCCCTGAAGAAGTTATTCTAACAAGGAAAGTAACCTAAAGAGCCACGATGAGGGGCGGGTCTAAGTTCGGAAAAGACCTCTGCTTGAATATGAAGCAGTCACAAAGGTAGAGAATGTAATAACTTTTGAGAAGAAAGAATACTTACGGCCGGGCGGTGGTGGCGCACGCCTTTAATCCCAGCACTCGGGAGGCAGAGGCAGGCGGATTTCTGAGTTCGAGGCCAGCCTGGTCTACAGAGTGAGTTCCAGGACAGCCCGGGCTATACAGAGAAACCCTGTCTCGAAAAAAAAAAACCAAAAAAAAAAAAAAAAAAAAAAAAGAATACTTACAAGTTATTTTTGAGTGAAACCGTAAAGCACGATATCAAGAGTAACTAGTTCTGAGTGAAGAAGGTAGAGAGACAGTTTTAGGTGATTTTAAGCTGATTTAAACTCCCCCATATTTTCTTGCCCTGCTTCTGGGAATGGGTGATTTTGATGTCTGTAAAGAGCATCTGCTCTCATTTTACAAAACCATATTAAACAAGTGACCTTGAAAGTTGTTTGAAGTGCTTTTGACAGGGGCTGAGTTTGCTTTCCAAGGAGCTCACTCACACAACAGTAAGAAATAATAGAAGACCCTGGTAAGGATTGAGTGAAGAACGCAAGCCAATGATTAATAACTGAAAACAGGTGGCACACAAACACATGGGACATCAACGAGACTCACATGGAATCAGAGAAATGTAAATTTAAGTAATGAAGCAACATTCGTGTTTCATTTATAGTCTTGTCAAGTTATACTAAAATTTAATTATGTTAGTTCTGTTGTATTCCTCTGGTGTTGTTGAAGATGGAAGATTATGCTGCAATCTGGAAAAGTCCGTCTAACTGAAGGAGCTCTAGGTTACAGTTCCTATGTTGTGAATGCTAATAGCAGTCAGATGGACTGAGACTGACGGGGGAGCAGATTCAAGTGGGAAAGGCCTGCTTTCCATCCAGCTCAGCCCCTTAAGAAACTCTGACCTTGGCGAGTTGCTGAACTTCACCAAGCCTTGGTTTCTCTAGTTCCAAGAATGAGCTGGAACAGACTCCACTACGTACCTGGTAACTACTTCTCAAGTGAATGACTGGTGATGATGAGCCACCATGTACAAAAGGACGTGGACAAAGACGGCCTGGAGGAGAACATGGCAACGTGATTAGCACTTGCATTAGAATAAGGAGAATGAGTATTATAAACATTTCCCTTGTTTTCTTTTGACTTTTAAATTATTATTCCTTCCTGTGACCTCTACCTAAGGTGGGAGGCAGATATGAGGTCTCATCCCATATTTGGTGATTTTATATTTGTGATAAACTATGCCCATACCTTATCCTTCTCTTCCTTTGTGGGTGTCCAGTTGTATGTATTGCTTTACAAACTTTGAGACCTGGTTACATGGCTGTATCAGTGTAAAAACTCGAGACTGGATGATGTCCCCCTGTTATGAAGGGGCCTAGGCTCTCATTTGTACTCTTGTACTGAACTGTGTATCTAGTTGCCCCTTCTTTCACTCATCAGAACACTCTGAAGTCAGTCTCGCCCCCTTACTGCTCCTTGTATCCTGTAAGCACATCTTAGTGAAACTGCCTTCAGATCATAATCAAGACCTCTCATTTCTTTCCATGTCCACCCTACCCCTTCTGGACTCTCTACTGTCCATAATTGAAAGAGATACTGCAGCCACCTCTGCACTTGTCTCTGTGACCACCTTTCCCTTTCCAGTGTCTTCTCCACACAATGACAGGTGAAAAGACGAGCAGGTCACCATAATGCCTGGAACTGTCCAGTGGTTTTCCCACTGCATTCAGAGGAAAGGACTCAGCTCCCCACCCAACAGCTCACAACCACCTGATCTGTAGCCTGCTCTTCTGCACGTTCTGTTCTCTCTGCCTGAAAGCTTTCTGGAGATAGTTACAGATTGGCTCTTCCTGTCTGCCAGCTCTGTCTCTGTCACCTTGTCACCGAGGTGGGCATTTTTACTGGGACTCTTCACACCGCTTACTCCCCCCACCCCCGTTTTTCCCTGTGTCTAAGGTCACGTAATCTACTGTATATATTGGCAAATGTGTAGACATTTATATAGCTTTCCAATAAAAACAGCTATAAGGCAAGAATTTTATCTGTTTGACTCTTTGCTATGACCCTGAATGTGTGGAGCCTAGAAAGTTCTCAGCAATGCTTATTGACTACTCACTATTCCATGGAAGTGGCCTTGAATCCCATACTTGTTTAAAGCTCCCCAAAGGATGCGCAGATGAGTTTATATGCCTCTTGCTCGCTTTCAGCCCTCTGCAAGAACTGAGCAAGACCATGAGCAGCCCTGCTACTAACTAATAGGTAGATGACATTTGTTGTCTTGGGTTTACATTTCTTGTTGAGCTAGGATGGGCAGCAGCTTATCTATAACTCCAGCAGTGTGTGTGTGTGGTGGGGGTAGTGGGCAGAGACAGGCAGATTCTGGGGGCTTGCTTGCCAATCTATTTGAAACAGCAAGCTCTAGGTTTGGTACGAGAACTTGTCTCAAAAAATAAGTTGTCAGAGTTTGAAGGAGATACCTGATACTGATCTCTCTCTCTCTCTCTCTCTCTCTCTCTCTCTCTCTCTCTCTCTCTCTCCTCCCCCCTCCCTTCCTCCCAATTTCTCTGTCTTACGCACGTGCATGCATCCTTACTCCCACGCATGCGCACGTGTAACACACACACACACACACACACACACACACACACACACACACACCATGGAAACGGAAGTAAGTTTACTACTAATACTGCAGAAAAAACGTTTGGTGCGGTGTGTTCCTCAGCAGGAGGGAGTGTGGAAGAGCAGCCCCGCATATCCTTAACTTGCCTTTGTCAGATCTATTCTTTGCATTTCCTCAGGGAGTTAACATGGCCTGTGATTTATAAAGGAGACCAAGAACAACTCTTCTAGGTTCTTCCTCATTTAGCTTTCTACTTTAGGCAGACATGATGGCACATGCCTGGAGTCTCTGCATTGAGATTGAAAGGCAGCTTGGTCTACATATGGAGATAGTGAGATGTTTCAAAATGGACAGATGGATGGATGGTCAGAGAAAACAAAGAAAACCCCCAAAAGATTTCTAGTTAGGTTATTGAGATTTTTGTTTTGAGTTAATAATTAAAGTGATTTTGTTTTCTTTGTCTTTTGCAGAGGCAGTGGTTGCAGATCTTCATAAGAAGATCAAAGAGGCATTCGAAGTGTTTGACCATGAATCAAATAATACAGTAGATGTGAGGTTTGGAAATATTCATTGTTATAATTCTAAATTGTAGATACAGTTTAGGGGGATGTTCTCTCCTATTTTTGTACTGTACTAAGTTTAGTGAACTATTTATTTATTTTTATACTTTGTGATTTTGCTAACTACCACTTCAAGATAAATTCTGTTTCCTATTCTTTGTAGTCTAGTGAAGAGACTATATTTTCATTGTCTAGTCCAACCCATAGACTAAACTGAGTAAGATGAACTTCATTATAGCTTTAGTGATGCCACATGTTTGATACTCAGTAAATCTCTGTTTAGTGAGCAAATGGAATTTGCATTTTAAAATATACAAATATGTGCTGGGGAGATGGCTCAGTTTGTCAGAGTGCTTGCTATGCAGGCATTAGAGCTCAAGTTTGGATCTGTATTGCTGATGTAAAGGTTGCATGGCCACACAAACCTCTGACCCCAGCATTGGAAGGAAGACAAGAAGATCCCAGGAGTTCATTGGTCAGTCAGTCTAGCTGAATAGCAAGCTTCAGGTTCAGGGAGAGACCCTGTATCAAGGGAATAAAAGATACCTATAGAAGAGAGACCCGGTATCCTCTCCTGACCCCTGACTGCATGTATACCTGTGCACACACAGACACATCACAGATTCTACATATACTATAACACACACACAATTAAAAACAATATAAAAAGTACATAGATGTGTACTATCAAGTACATGTTACAAAGAATAGTTATGTATATAGAATAATATACTCCCCAAGTGTACTGGTTGGTTTTGTGTGACAACTTGAAACAAGCTGGAGTTATCATAGAGAAAGGAGCCTCCCTTGAGGAAATGCCTCCATGAGATCCATCTGTAAGGCATTTTTTTTTCAATTGTTGATCAAGGGGGAAGGGCCTAGCCCATTGTGGGTGGTGCCATCCCTGGGCTTATAGTCCTAGGTTCTATAAGAAAGCAAGCTGAGCAAGCCAGGGGAAGCAAGCCAGTAAGGAACATCCCTCCATGGCCTCTGCATCAGCTCCTGCTTCCTGACCTGCCTGAGTTCCAGTCTTGACTTCCTTTGGTGATGAACAGCAATGTGGAAGTATAAGCTGAATAAGCCATTTCCTCCCCAACTTGCTTCTTGGTCATGATGTTTTATGCAGGAATAGAAACCCTAAGACACCAAGTAAGATTAAAAATGGGCTAAACAGAGCGTGAGAAATGGAAAGACATGATGAATGTTGGGAGATCTGGAGTAGGATCCAGATATGGCAGTGCGCACCTGTAAGTGCATCACTTAGGTGCTAGAGTAAGGAAAATTATGAATTTGAAGGCAGCCTTGGCTACGTATTTTGGGGTATTGGGGGAAGGTAGAGGAAATCACACAAGAGACTAACAGAAATTGTGGGATTTATGCTGAATACAGCACAGGAAAGCCAGAAATTCATTCTCCCAGGAAGCCAGGCAAAGTGAGGATTATTTCATGGGTTCATAGTCTAAAGAGTTTCTAGTACTAAAGCCAGCAAAGCAGTGGGGAGCAGTCTAAAGTACAGCAAGGAGCTGTTTATAAACCAGGCCATCTGTCACTTCCTGTACTAGCCAGGGGCTCAAGTGCTTCAGACTTGAGCCAAAGTGAATGAACAATATGAGACTTTATTCCTAAATTGTAACTATATTCCTTGCTTAGTTTCTCATGCCTGAGGGTCTGAGATTAACCAGTGTAACAAGTTTCATGTCTTCATATTAACATGTAAGACATTATGAAGTTTTGTTTTGTACTCTAGTTTTCTGTATAAACCTGTTGTGACACACAAGGTAGAAGATAGAATTGAATTTGTCCTCTAGCATCTTACCTGTAGTGGGCTTAGCTAGTTACTTATCTCAATGGAACAGTACCTGACAGAAGCAGCTCAAGTAAGGGAGGGACTATTTGCCTCATAGTTTGAGAGTCCAACCTGTCATGGCAGAGATGTCATGGCAGCAAGAGCTTGAGGTAGCTGGTTGTATTATGTCCATAGTCAGGAAGCAGAGATTGAAGTTTGAAGATCAGCTCACTTTCTGGTTAGTCCTGGAACCCAGCCTGTAGACTCTTCCTGCCATGGTTAGCCTTCACAGGCATGCCCAGAAGCTGACATCCTCTTATTCCATAGCATGCTCAGATGCTTGTCTCTTAGTTGGTTCTAGATCCTATCAAGATGATAGTCAAGGTAAACCATCATGGGCAGAGCGAGTCTGGGTTCAGCCATTGCAATGGAAGAGTGACCAGAACTTACAGGGTGTCATGGCAGCACACGGAATACTGAGCCTCATCTGTGTTCTTTGGGAGAATGAGTAGGCAGGGATGGTACTGGTTCCAGTGTTTGATGAGTCGCATAGAGCTTGCAGCACTACCTTACAATTAGATGGACTAGATTATGATGGACAAGTTCTTGTCCACTAACTTCTCCTTGAATCTGAATGGCTCTCTTCCTGGGCCAGGAGAGAAGTATTGTTAGAAAAGTCAGGGAGGGTATAGCTTTAGTCATGTTTGTCTGGTTGTGGTTTCTGGGGATAGATTCCAAGACCTTGTGCATACCAGGCAAGCATTCTCCTGCAGAGTTACACCCCAGGCCTACCACAGCTTTGTGAGACAAAGGGGAAGAGAGAAAAGCACTTGCTTAAGTTTTGCTGTCTGGCAGTCCAACTATCCTGTAGTTGACATCTAGGAGCTCTGTGTCCATCACCTCATGTTAATGTTTTTAGCTGTTTGAGAAGGTTTGGCACCTCTGGTTTTGGAGACCGGTGACAAGTCTATGCTTTGCTCATTGTCACAGCAGGGATTTTCCAGTTCCAAGTCTCTGGCTGTGCTTGGGAGCACGCCCTCATTCTCCTACCCCAGACCCTCACAGATCCCCGGGCCTGTCTCTTGCCTTCCGTTTTCTTGACAGTGAGAGTGAAAGGAGCCCCCATGTCCCATGCAGCAGGGATGCACCAGGCCTTTTTGGTAAAAGGACCAATTTAGGAAGAAGAGATGTGTTTATGGGTTCTAACTTTTCTCCATTCAAAAATAAAATAAGTTAACCGAGGCCCTGAGGGAAAGTGTATGCTTATAACTTAGTCTACTTTATTAAACAAAGATGGTTATTAAGAGCATAGGCATTGTTTTGGGCACTAAAATATTAATGCTAAGCATATTTGAATAGTAATGTGGATGATGCAGCCTTCTAAACTTGATTCCTTATGCTTTTTTTTTTTTCCTTTTGAGACAGTCTTACTCTGTAGTGCAGGCTGGCCTTCAAGTAACTGTGTAACTTAGGCTGGGCTCAAACTCACAGCAGTCTTCTTGCCTTAGCTTCCGAGTGCTGGACTTCAGGTGCATATGTTGCTTTGTCTGCCTCCTTATACTGAGTTACATGGAACCGTATCCTCATGCTTCTGGTGTCATGTGAATTGACCTTTGTAAACTGGATGTGAAGAACAGAGACACAGAGAGCCTTGCCCAGGGTTGCACAGTAGTGAGCAGCCAAGTTGGACGTCGAGTTAGTTCTCTCTGTTGAGCAGCATCTTCCACGTTGGCTGCACACCAGCCTCAAGGAAGGCCCTGGGATGCTGTGATGAGCAGGCCGGCTCCCTCCGTTTATAGATGCGGTTGATCTTCCACGTTGGCTGCACACCAGCCTCCAGGAAGGCCCTGGGATGCTGTGATGCGCAGGCCGGCTCCCTCCGTTTATAGATGTGGTTGATCTTCCACGTTGGCTGCACACCAGCCTCCAGGAAGGCCCTGGGATGCTGTGATGCGCAGGCCGGCTCCCTCCGTTTATAGATGCAGTTGATCTGTCTGGGATTTATTATGGCTTAGGATTAAAAGGGAACATCTAAATAGGTGGTTATTTTTAACCTACTGAACAGTATATTTGCTGTTCAAATTGTTAGGTCTACTGTATAATATGCTTACTTTTGTATGACTGGATCCAGTTTCAACTGGCTTTTGATCTATTGCATTATGTTGAAGTTCAATACTCCATTAAGACCTATCAATTTATAAAATGCTTTATTACTCTTCAAACAGTTAAGGATTGAAGGCAGGATTTTAGTAGACTGAATGGTGTGGAGAAGTGGCTCATACCCATAATCCCAGCCCTGGGGAAACTGAGGCAGGAGGATAACCACAAGGTCAAGGCCAGCCGGGACAAGAAAGTAAGAACTTGGTTAAAATAAACAAACACAAAAAACACCCCTCAAGCCCGAAAAAAGTGTTTGTGTGGTAGTAAGAGGGCCTGCATTCCACAGTAAAATAGCTTTTCTCTAAGAAGAGCCAGGCCATGGACTGCCTCAGAGGGAAGTGTGGAGTTGCTTCCCTCAGGACTGACCTAGGCTGCCTTGGATACTTTTTTTGGTGGCTTCTTTCCTTTCTTCTCTCTGCTGTGCACAAATTGAAAGATTTCATTTTAATTTTTATCATAATAGATAGAAAAGAAGTCTGATATTGTGAGTATTGAGTGAACAGTGGGTTGCTTGTTACTATCTGAAACATCTTGAGCTGGTCTCTTCTGCTTCCTCAGACCTAGGAATTAGCTTACTTCCTGGGCCTCAGGGCCAGCTTCATGATGGTGAGGAACTTAGGTTCTTTGTGGCCCTCCTTTTACATTTGCCTTACAGGGCTTTATATAAGAAGGTCTCCAAGTGGCTTGGAGATTTCCCTTTATGTCCCCAATACCCTATATGTGACTGTGAAGTCAAAACTATTTGCATTAATAAAGCAAAGGTAGTTTTAGGTATATTTTTAAAGATTTTTTTCTCAGTGTGTGTGGCTATAGCTGAGTGTATGTATTGTGCGCCATGTATATACAAGTGTGTATAGGTCCCTGAAGAGTCCAGAAGGTATTCCATTCCCTGCAAGTCACAAGCCATTGGACTCCTCCTTCTGTGTGACTGCTTAGAACTGAACCCAGGTCCTCTGCGAGAACAGTCAATGCTCCTAACCACCAAGGCCTCTTTCCAGCTTCCAGTATTAAATATTTCTCTCTCATATTTGTCATGAGGGTTTCAAAGC